ACAGCTACAAATACTGATACATGTTTTCGAAAAATTATATTAATTATTAGTACCAAATTGTAGAACGTTTATAGTCTACGATATTTTAAATTTTTAACCCGTCAAAATATTATGTTTGATGATAAATTGAAAAGTTTGCAAGATTGATATGAAAAATAATGCTCAAACCAATGAAAATATTGTCGTAAAAAATAACAGTATAGCACTTAATAAAAAATAAAGGTAGAAACACACTATTAACACATAACGTGTTAACACGCTCTATCAAGCCCCATTTTAATGAGACGTGTTACACTTTAAAAACACTGTATAATGCCATGCCATTTGATTTTCACTTTTAAGTTTATCAACTAGTTTTTAATCTCATATCTAATAATAATTATTAAAATATAATACAATAAACTATTTAATTATTGCCTCTCGTGAGCTTGACGTGTGATATTAAAGTACAATTGGCGCCCTGTCGGCTATAGATGGAGAATATTTCAACCAACAATGCAAATACAACCAGCTTCTGCTGACAAAATTATTTTAGTGATCTGCACAATTAATTGTGTCATGACGAAGAATTTTACCTAGACAATCGATTTGCAAATTAGGTTGAAACAGTTTTTATTAAATTTAATTAAAACCAATTATAAGAAATACAAAATAGTGCCTACTACCAAAGAGATGTTTCCGATATTAGAGGTAAATATAAAGAATATTTTATGTAATTTATAGTTTTATAGTTCCATGCTTATACATTGTAGGCTAGGTGAGAATTAACAATATTAACATATATCTGATTATCATTTCTGACAAATTCACATGACAATAAAAATTGTAATTGTATTTTCAAATCATACCTTATTCCCTTCGATTGTAATATGTTAATGTATATCACTACAAAAATAAAATTCTAAATAATGGGAATTGTGAGTTTAAACATAAAAATTAACGATAATTTTAGTATTAGATTTTTAATTTTTAGACACAGATATTGGGCGGCATCTCGACGGAAACGATATATTAATGAAATTACGATTTACATATCAGTTATAATTAATTTATGCGAACTCTGTAAAATAGAGTACCCACCTATGCATTTGTTATAAAATATGTGTTTATGTTTTTTTTTCTATGCAACAACGCGGAAACTCGAGACATTATATTACAGGTAGGTACCTACCTAGCCACGCACTGTGGTTATACACAATGTAAAATACGCGTATCCGGTAGACTGCACTGCAGTTGTGACACGTGTACGAGAAGTAATTAATAAATGTATACATGATGGTTTTAACTCACAGATCTGATCCTATAATGAACTTACCGAACTAAAATCAAAACAGCCATTTTTTCCCCTTTGTCTTCTTGACGCCCTATAGCTCCGATGATGTTCAAAGTAAACTTCATATTATAATAACGGAGTTCATTTTGACGGAGGCGTTTAAAATTAAATTTTTGTAAGTATAAGCTCGAGTGCATAATAATATAATATACAACCGTTTAGATTTTTATTTCATATAGATATACATGCACGGCGGCCCCCACAGAAACCATTAACTCGTTTTAAAACCAAAAAAATACACAAGACCGCACACAGATGCAAACGGATATGCGTATCTCTGTATCTGGAAACACAATAAAATATTTCGTGGGCCTAATATCGTAGTCAGAGCGCATCATAAACCGTTTTGGATAACTATTTCCGGTGTATAATACTGGTGGAACTAACTTCAAGTTGCGTATACAACGCGCGACACACTTCCGGAAATATGTAGGTAGGTATATTATAAAATATTGCATAGCTGGGCATATTATTGTTAATAGTTTTTTTTTTTTGACACGATTTTTTGTAATGAACGTTACCAGTTATCGATTGGCGATTATCGTTTATTAGTAGGTACCTTCACAAATACGTGTGGCTCGGTTAGTTAATGATTTTGATATAGGTCTGAATGTCCGATGCAATTAGAAATAATGGCCATTAAATAGTTGATAATTATAAATTGTTGGCTACTACTTATTATATTATGCTACGATTTACATTTGATATTAAAATATATCTATCATACAGCATACACTCGCATATTTCTACCGTATATTTATATATATATATATATACCTTACTGGGGTGTACAGAGATTTAATCGTGTTTAAGGAGAGAGTGGAAATCAGAGTCAAACAGTAGATACTAGATTGATCGATCAGGAAGTGTAAAGGGCTGGTGGAGAGATATGGAGAGTTCAAATTTTGCACCAAAATACATATTATTATAGGTACTAAATTATGTACAATTTGCATCTGAGCAGATCGTATACATTTTTATATGTGATTCGCGACAAATTTTACTCAAGGTTATGAAGGTGTATATATTAAATAATTTATTGCGTCGATATTTCAAAGTTATAAATTGTAATGAATACCGTTTATTTGATACTTCAATACCTACAGTTTATAATATACATTTTTTCCTCAAATCGAAATAATTCTTATAGAATATAGCAGCGTGTGTTGCATAATAACTATTCATACATAAATGAGTAAATTAAATTAAATTTTAATTTAATGTCAGTTACCGAGTGATTTACATAATGTTATTATTTTTAAAATGTAATAGTAATTTTTTTTCTTATTTGATATTCACACTGAATAACTTATTTCATGAATACATTTATTTATTTATAAGTCTTTCTGACATTTCAATGAACTCGATTTTTGTTAACAATGATATAATGAAATACTTACTAATAATATTTTTGTATTACAACCTGACTCCCCCACTCTTCAAAAAAAAAATATGTGGGACCTTTTACCCTATATAATATTCTCCCTCCAATATGTATAACACTAATCTACTTGTGGCTACTTTTAATACTCATTTATGAGTCTTTATAGGGAATAAATTATCTATAAAATAATTTTTTTATATCATCAGAAAACATTTTTTTATTGTGTATTTTTCTTTATAGCCTTAGTACATGATATAGTACTTAATAGAATAAATAGGTAACCAATTATAATGAATACTTAAGAAAAATGTTACGTAATATGAGTAAATTGCACTTAAATATCAATATTTAATAATTTAATAAAATTATGAAATGGTGTAAGCCTCTTCAAAACTACGATACTATGAATAACATGTTTTTCCTCAATAAAAAAAAAATTAGGTGTTGATCAAATGTTAACCGATTAGATAAACAATTCAAAATTCAAAATGTAATAAATTGGATGACAAAATATTTAACACTCTTTTTTCTTAGATGCTAAAAAAAAATTAAGATGTAAGAGTTTATTTTATAAATGATTTGCATAATCCTAATATTATATAATTTGAGTTTAACTTTATAATTATATCTTTATTAGCTATAAAATAATAATTAATAAACTATATATTACGATGATAGAGGTGTTGAATTAATTTGTCATTACTCACGTTATGTTCAAATGGTATGAATTTAAAAGATGAATGACCGTTGTCAACAAATAATGATTGTATAAAATAATAATGAATTCAAAACAATGTTTCTATCGAATTATCTTTACACCAAATCATTTCCGATTATTAATACTCAATCAGGTTCAAAGCTTTAAAGTTTAAATAGTTGTCGTTGAATATTCATTCGCGCACATAATATGTCACATTATGTGACCTCATAATTATCACGTCCCAGTAAATATATTCATTACTCTCAATTTACCAATATTTCTTTAATATACACGATAATATAATACTATCCGACAAGTCAACTTTTGATGGTTATTGAATTGACCTTAAAATTAATTCATCCGTCTATACACTGGACTATTTCAGCTAAACGTTAAGAATGGTATTAAAAAAAAACAGTGTTTATAAGACAGTTAATAGAACTTAAATGCATTCATATGCATAACGCGACTAATGTACTCATAAGCTATATTAATAACAGTGTAATATTATTAACTAGGTATGAAAAAATATTCAAATGTGGCATTTTATATACAGGCCTTTCTGTATCATGAAATATCTACTCATAGATTATGTTTTTCAGACATACGTTTTCATTTATAGGTTTAAATGTATGTCAATACAACAATATAAAATACGTATTTAGTTAGGTACACACACATTAAATACATTAGATCAACATTTTCTTGACTTCTACAATATAAAATAAAATATAATATTTTGGGATTTTAATGTGTAATACCTACAAGTAAGTACCTAATACTACCTACATGTACATAATTATAACAGTTTTTTTCGGCATTATTACCATAACATATTATGCGTTTTTATTTGCGATTAGATAATGTAACCTTTTCTCATCGAGTTTTTCAATATGTTCAAATAACTTATTAGAATTAGATAAAAAACCATTTAATACATAATTTTAAACTCAAAATCCTTCTGTAAAAAAATCAAATCAATTATCTAATTGGTAAAATGTAGTAATAATCAATATAGACATATATTATAATACAATATAATTGGACTTCAACAATGACAATAATTAGGTATTTCAATATTATACTTAGTTGAGATATTTTTTTTTTAGTATTTTCTTACAGAGAGTAACAGAAAATCGAAAGTTACAATACTAACGCGTTATGGCTATTGGTAAAACTACGCGATCGGGAAAATTGAAAGAAATATATTTTTGCAGATTATGTACTTATTTACTAAAGAATTTGTCAACAGTCAACGTATGTGTTAGAAACTAGAAACGAACCACCCAACGACGCTACGAATCGTCATATATCTTTTGTTTGAAAATATAAAAAGACTTTATTCTCTATGTTCGTTAACGGCAAATACCATTAATCGTGACAAGGCGCCTCCGGGTGGAAAGCGCACGATGTAAATATTATCATTGTGTATACTATAATATAGCGTGGGGTGTAGCGATAAGAGAGAGGGAAAGGGGTTGCCTTCTGCGATTGGTGAGAAATACAACAATAATAACAATAATTATATAATATATTATAGTACCTAATAGTAATAACGATGGAAAATCGATCTTTCGTCTTACCTGGTTTTGAGGCGTGGGAGCCTGTTTTTCCGCGTCTTTCACCATTTGCTTTTCGGTCATAATCTACTCGACTCACAGTAAGTTGATGTACGGTGTGACCACGTACAATGTTATCGGTCTGCTACAGCGGAATGTCGTCGATCAGACAGATATCGTCACTCTCTCTCTCTCGCAGTCTCTCAAAAATACCAAAGATCGGCTGTGTGGGTACCTATGTTCGCTGCTACACGCCAAGCCGCGTACAAGGGACGACTGAGGGTGCGACCGGTCGCGCAAAGGATCTATATAAACGCTTTGTGGCGCGCGCGCGTGTGTGAAAAATCGTCGTACGTATATACAAATGCGATATAATAATAATAATAATACGATATCGAGCGCGCCCCGGCTGCGTCCTCCTCGTCCTGCACACGGCCAAACGCGTTGTGACGACGGGAGCGCTCCCGAGCGCCGGTAGCGGCGGCCCGTCATCCTTCCCTCCGCGCCGAACGCCGCATCCCCACCTGACGCACCCACACGAGCGCGCTCACATCGCATCAACGTCCGCAGCGGGGTGGTGCGCGCGCGTATAGTCGTGTTCTACTCGTGTAAAATATCGCATAGGTGTTAGTATGTGAAATACCTATCATATTATACCTGCCAGCCTGCCTGCTCTCGGCGTTATTCTAACCAATTATCATCATCATCGTAGCGTAGTGACTATTATAGGCAGATGAATTATGATAATATATATTATATTGTTATAATTTTCAAACTAAATATTTAACATCAACCCCGTCGTCGCCGACACCATGTTAACCCCCCCCCCCTCCTCTAGCCGCACCAATCAAGATTATTGCAGTCTTTTGGGGCCTTATTTCTTTTCCAAAATGTACGCTGCACGACCGAGAGTTTCACACTATCGATGAGGTTCTAAACCAATATTGTTTGCTCACACGCATAGCGTAGACGTATTGATTTGGAAAGGTAGTATATTGATTAGAAACAAAAATCATCAATTGTTACATTTTCAATTTCAAGTTTCGGCACCATCGTTTCATGTCATTACGTAAATTTGTGATTTTCAAAATCGTATTGAAAAAAAAAAACTGTTTCCGGTTTGGGAAGCAACCCCTAATGCAGACATTTATTTTGAAACACTATTTTTTAACACGCGATAGACAACCACTTAGCCTGTGTGACGGTCCCCAACACGAATAAATGTGACATTATACATCATATCTAAGAAGTAAAATAATAGCAGTATACCTACCTACCCATTAAAAAAACTTATTGCGCTAGATACTCCATATTTTTTCATCTTCTAGGAAAATCTACGAATCATAAATAATATATTTCATTAATGAGTACCTAACCATGGCAACAAAAACCTTAAGGAAAACCAGTCGGAAATAAAAAATTTCGTATTCATCCCAAAAAATATTAATGTTAAACAAAATTTAAAACTTTTCATCAATGTTAAAAAGATTAAGATAGAAGAAAAAATACGGAAATTAAAATATTAAATGTTAAAAATAATAATACTATGTATGCTCTACGCATCAATTTGGTCTCGTTTGTTGATAAAATTTTTGTCCTATTTAAAATATGTAGTGATGCCAAATTCAAAGGTACCTCGAGATACTTGAATATTCCTAATTTACATAAGTTGTACAGCACTGCGAAATTGTAATAAATGTGTTGATAGGTAATAAAATCATTAAGTAGAGGTGACTATTAATTTAAAAAAAACTCGTCTAGACCACAGTTCCACTCAAGTAGGTACTATGTTTAAGTACTTATCATATTATATCAGTTGTGCGCACAAACAATACACATGCACGCCGTATGGACAAAACAAGTATTGCAGTAATAATTAATATGTATAATATCGAGGTAATAACTTCCGGTCTAGAATTAAACGAAAACTTGCATGTGTGCTATACATTTACCTATATGTACTTTATATACGTAATTATATGTATTAAAAATTAAACTATTTAAGGGTGCATAATATTTTAGAAATGTAAAGTGAACGTGGATGAAATATGACTGTTTATAAAACAATAAAAAAAATAATCAAGATACATTTCGTAGTTACCTTATTGGTACACTGCAGTACTACACACATTTGTACCTGGACACTTTTCTCGCAATATAAATCTACAAATATTTTAGATGGTAAATATACTTGACGAATAAAAGTGTACAATAGTCAATAACACGTCATAATATTTGTAATAACGAATTAAAAAATATTTGTAATACAAGTTAGGTTAGCGATGTACTAATTTAAATTGAATTAAATTAAAAATCTTTTCAACACATTTAAAAAAATTAAATAATATTTGGTTTTAAATGATGGATAAAGAGTTCTTAAGTTTCAAAAAATATCATTTAAAATTAAGAATAAATAAATATTCATTGCATTTGTCAACACTGAGTACGATAATCGATTATATAATATTGTTGTTAAAATATATACAATATGACAATGAAAAAAACCAGTTGGAGAAAATAATGTTATTAAAGGTACATATCATGGATAAAATTGCGATCACTATCCATGAATAATTTTGTTAAGCTTTATTTGAATTAATTAAAATATGTTTTTTGATTGTTCATACTTATATTAAATTTAACATTAGAACCACATCTATATTTGAACCAAATATGATTCAATTAATGTATCTATTTAATGGAGTTTGAATGAATTTTAAATGATAGATATTTTAATCCTTATTATAACTGTAATCATCAATTGACGATCAATCATACAGTTTTGACAGTTTTTCACTGAGTCAATGCCCGTTGCGATCACATTATAAAACACATTGTGTTTCATTTTCTCAGGTCCAACATTTAAAAGGCACGTATCACGTAAAATACAAAACAAAAGTACACAAATTGATTTAAATTTTGCCAAAGAATAAAACATGCATAACGTAGTATATTATATTATATAAGTAACAACGTATGAAACATAACAATATAAATTATAAATGTACAATATTATTGCAGTAATAAAAAGATAGTAAATACTATATTGCGATTTGTGGGTGATGTATTATTTATAAACGAAATGACGCATAGAAAAATATGTATAACAAGTTTAACCAACGATGCGTAATCGCGAATATCCAAAATCGAAATCACATTTTTTCCTTGAAGAATTTGTAAAAATTATGTGTAATGAAAAGTTTTAATAGTTCAAGAAGGATGCAATAGAACCAAACAGGTTAGACCTTTGAGGTGGATAATTGCTCAGTGCTCATCTCCTAGGTGGAACATATTATATCGTGGTAAATTTTCACGAGTTTTCTAATGTCTAAATATGATATACCTATAACTCAATTAAAATTGTTTGTATGTATATTGTATTGCCGATAGTAGAAACCGGAATGCAATTTTTCAATTTTAATTTAGTTAGACTGTATAAACATATTATGTTGTAAAAAGATGTAGAGTGCTGACTATTGTATATTCGTATGTGGTATTTTAGTTACATGAAAAAGGATATTCAAGTTATTGTTTAAACGCGGAGAAATGGTATAGTTTTTCCAATAAAAATATAAAAATTGTTTGTCCGGGTTTAAGTAAAATCAAATATAGCAACCCTACACCAACCCCCTTAAAGAGGTGTGATGTCTCTCATAAATGATCAGAATTCTAAAATTAAAAATATAACTCTGATACCAAATACTAGTACAAAAACAGCAATGAATAAATAAATATACTCCAAATAATTATTGTATGCTATAAAGTAATTTTTAATATGCTATAATATCTCATATTATTATTAGGTACCCACTAGATTAAAGTTATTTGATTTGTGAAATGTATATTACGACATATTATAGACCATAGTATTAGGTAAGTTAAACAATATTAGTTCAATACAAACAGAATTGTTGTTTCAATCTAACGATAATATTAGTTGCGATTTATGAGTAGGTACCTACCAAACGAAATATATACCTATGTATATATATTATGTATGTAAATAATATATATTTTTTTAATCCAATACCTGCTTGGTCTTAAAATTAGTTAAACATTTTATTCCTAAAATCAAATTTTTAAACATATTTAATTTAAGTGACTTTAATTTTTAATTTTTTTTATATATATATATATATATATATATATAAATACCAAGGATTAGTTTTTCAATTTTAGAATTTTTCTGATTTAGTGACTATATACAGTGGATTCCGCTTAATGTGGGCACGTTGGGACCAGCCCTGTTTGCCCACATTAAGCGGTTGCCCATAAAAACCGAATTAACATTGTTAACATACATTTGTATTGGGACCAGCTCTGTTTGCCCACAATAAGCGGATGCCCATATTAACTGGTGCCCACAATAAGCGGATTCCACTGTACTTATACGTTAGGTCCAACGCATAATATAACTATGCCGTATTCATTAATGCTATGGTGAGACATTATCAATAATTATACTTATGTAACATCTCTCGTTACCTGTTAGTTATTATATTATTCAAATGTTGAAACTATTAATACTAAAAAAATATCTCAATTAAAAAAAAACTATAAATAAGAATAGATTAAGACAGAACAAAATAGTATTAAAATATAATGAAATTAAAATTCAACTACAGTTTACAAACATAGTAAATCACAATTTATAAATACATCCCAGTTACATCTTATTTAAAGGTGATATTATATCCATAATCCTAAATGAAAGTATTTTAAAAAAATCAAGTGTACATTAGTTATATTTTAATGCAACGATAATAATATTTACATACACACAGCCACATGGGTATCTCACGAACAAATCCATATTACTATTTATTATATTTTATATTATATCTATAACATGTTCTATATGGATTATTATATGCATTGGACTTCAAAATTATTTACCGTCGTGCTCTTAATACATTATACCAACATTTCAAGGTGATTAATATACGTATATAATCTATTTCATCAAAACGAATTTCAAAATTTAACACCCATTATTTTTAATCGAACAGTTTCGACACACGCCACTTCATCGCATATGCTATGACGACTTTTTAATCAAACCAGTATGATATGTATTGTGTTTATTTTAAATAAGCTAACAATACTATACATGGATATAATATAAGATATAACCGACACTATATATTGCACAGATGGAAGATGTATCGAGTAATGATAATATTTTAATAGTAATTTATATCGACTATAATGTATGAAATATGAAATGATGACAACCTATAGATCCCACGCACTCAGTATCACCATACACCGCAGAAACACTGTCATTGATTATAATGATTCTAATAACAGTAATAAAACTATTTCAACCTCGGTATCTGACGATATTATGTGTAATGGTATTAATATTTGTTTTCCAAGCAAATTATAATAATGTATGGGTATGGAATATATTATAAAGTATAGGTGTAGCGTGTAGGTACACAACGGGTTGATTATTTAAGTG